TTAGGATTTTCTTTCTTTATTTTAGAGACTAATTTTAATAGAAAAATGTAGTCGCTTTAAGATTTGTCCATTTAAAATAAATGAGATGAGTCTCGCCTAGTAAAATGTATAGATTGCGGGGTCCTCACAAAATGTATGTCTTAATTATTTAGAACATCGGAGTTGGCCGTCTAGTGAAATTTTACGGCCTTTCCCAAAACAACAATACGCTAGTCGCGTCTTTAACAAATTATTTTCTTAAATATGGGTGTGCATTTATGTAACCCAAATCCAAATCTCAACGGAGTCAAAAGGTGTCGATAACCGCGGGTGCATTGATTGTGACGTGGTTTGAAATACGTTTTCACAATGTTGCAATTCTCCGTAAAATAATAACAATAAATAAAAATAATAAAAGCGGCTAAAGGATAAAATTTGCACATAAGTTTATAATATGTATTATATCAGATAATCAAGCCGAATATAACAGTTGAGCGACCGTGCTAGAACCACGAAACTCGGGAATGCCTAACACCTTCTCCCGGTTTAACAGAATTCCTTATCCGGATTTCTGGTTCGCGGACTGTAATACAGAGTCATTCTTTTCCTCGATTCGGGATTAAAATTGGTGACTTGGGACACCCTAAATCTCCCAAGTGGTGACTCTGAAATAAATAAACAAATCCCTTTTCGATTGTCCTTTAATTGAAAAAAACTCCCTTCCGCGCCCCTCTGCGGGCGGCGCGGGCGAAAAAGGAGGTGTGCCAATGTATAAGATTTATTAAACTATTTTCCTTAATTATGTTTTCATTTATAATTGCTAATAATTAATGTTGACCTAAAATTGCAAAAGTAGCTTCATTTTAGCTTGCCACTTGGCTTAACCACAATGCATACTACCCTCCTTTTAATATAATATAGATAGATTATGTTTCCATTTATAATTGCTAATAATTAATGTTGTCCTAAAATTGCCAAGTAGCTTCATTTTAGCTTGCCACTTGGCTTAACCACAATGCATACTACCCTCCTTTTAATATAATATAGATAGATTATGTTTCCATTTATAATTGCTAATAATTAATGTTGTCCTAAAATTGCCAAGTAGCTTCATTTTAGCTTGCCACTTGACTTAACCACAATGTACACTACCCTCCTTTTAATATAATATAGATTTTATATGATTGCATTCATTGGCTAATTTAGAGAGTATTCACCAAAGCCCATTGGCTTCTTTTGTATATGTATTTTTGAAGTAACAGGCAAAGGTAGTAAATCAATGGGAGAAATTTAAAAATAATCAGATTTACAAGTGGTCATTAAAAATAACTACAGATTCAAAAGTAATCAAAATTTAGTCACTTTTTATGTAAAGATAAATCTGAACGAAAATATTGTTCAAAATCCGGAAAATACTCCAGCATAATATACTGAAATTCCAATATAATATACTGGAACTTATATTGGAGTTCCAACATAAGTATACTGGACTTTCAACGTATTATATTGGAGTTTCATATACCGGTCTAGCATAATATATTGGAAGTTCATACACAGGTGCTCCAATCTCTAATATATTATACTGGAACTTTCCGCTTGTTGGAGTTCCAGCATAATATGTTGCAAGTTCATACACATGTGCACCAATCTCTAATATAGTATGCTGGAACTTTCCGTATTTCAGCAAAATAGTAATTATTTTTCAATGACTTTGTAAATACTGACTATTTTTCAATGACCAATCCGAAAATTAACTAGCCCCGTGCTATTTTTACTAAATCGATCCATAGACCGGCAAAAATACTAAGTTGGGCCCTACTCTATCACTCTGTTATTTCTGTACTTGTCCTGTTGATACTGGTTATTAAATTAAAATGATCCAAAAATATTTTTAATATAGTATAATATTATCCGCTTGAATTCAGACCCACATGATTTCCCAGGCCTTATATTATTATTAATAGTGTTCTACACCTTATAAATAAAATCTTTTTCTTTTATACTTTATGTGGCTTTGTTCAGAATCAAATAGTGGCTTGGAAAGAATGAAAGAATGGGCGGTGTGGTAGAATGACTTTAAAAAGCATAAAAATCCTTTGTTGAAAGGAAGGAATTAGCTCAATGTCCTTATCAGATTGTCTCTCTGTCTGGAATCAATACACGTTATCACTTCCCCAAAAGTTTGTTTTGTAGTATTGGGTCCAACATGATAAGGATAAAATTGTCAAATATATTTCATCTTCTTTTGAAATATCTAATGTAATTATGTAAATCACACCGTGTTATGGAATAATGTCCGTCAGAAATTATTTATAAATAATAACCGAAAAAGTATATAATTTTTGTATATAACATACAAAATATATAAATTTTATATATTTTTCAGCTATTATTTTTACAACGGCTATACAGTGTCATTTTTTCAATAATATCCAACAACCAAGATAGTAATATGCTTTATATTGCATTAATCAGTATGTAAAACAAAGAAATTAAACACATAATCTTTGGCCTTTAGAAGTTATAATTTTCTAATTGGATTTTCAGTTGCTTGTCCTCTATAAGCAACAGACGAAGCTATTTGATTTAGGGGTCGTTTGGTATGATGTATTAGAGAAAATAATAATTCATGCATTTTAATTTTTAATATATCATACCAAACAGTAGATAAAAAATAATTTTTACATAACTAATACTTTCATTATTAACTCATACATTACTAATACACTTTATTCAGCACTATTCTTATATACCCTACCAAAATGATCCCTTGGTCGTTATCCCATGATTAGTTATCACTAAGCCCGAGATTAGTTATCCCAACCTTCCATATGGGAATAAAAAAATACTCTAATCCCGGGATAACTAATCTCGAGATTAGTTATACGATAATTTTATTTCAACCAAATATGGGATAAACTCATCTTAAATTTAATCTCGAAAATAATTATGGCTTCAGAGTATTGAAAATTGGTAATACAGCCGTACAACAGTCAATGGCATGATATTGATTTGTGGTTACAGAATTATAGGTGAGGGAGCCCCCACAAGCTCCCATCATTTAAGATCAGAAGCTTTTAATTTGTATGCAGCAATTTATGTTTATCACATGAAATGCTTGACATGCATGGTGACATCTAAGCGAAGCTTGGTGAAGGAGAATTGGCTCCAAATATAGTGTATAAAGGGAAAAAGTCTAACTTCTATGCACCGCCAATGCAAGAAATTTTTTATACTATTTAATCATCTAAAAGAGAACCATAAGTAACCGTCTATCATAAGTGAAAGTTGTTATCAACCTGCTAAAACATGCAAATTATACTAATAGTTAAAAAAATTATACACTGTCAGTATACGTAAGTTAAATTTGAAGTGAAAATGGTGGCTTTTCATTGTAGATTTGGCTTTCGGCAAGAGTTTTGTTGTTTAAACCAAAGAGTAATTGATCAATCAGCTTAAGTGGCTGCAATAGATGATTGGGCAGCCCAGTCCCAATACATAAAGCGAAAGCATCATGCATTCACGTAGGGTCCAAGGAAGGGCCGCTCCCCCGGGTGTAATGTTGTCTACCCTGATATAAGCATTAGTGGTTAATTCTGTGGCTTGAACCCATGAATTATAGGTCACGCAAAGACAACTTTATTGTTGTTCCAAGACTCCTCTTCGACAACTAAAAGAATGAATTAAGAAAATGAAAATATCTCATGAATAACTGGTCGAGCTAGCTGCGCAAACTAAGAGAAGCAAATTCAGTAGATAATTTGTTTGGCACATATACCTTAAAATCTTGAATTATTTTTAATGCAACAGAGAAAATATGGCAATGTTTTAAGGCAGGTTTCCGTCAGACTTCTGACTAAATTTTCTTTTATTTGAATAGCAGAAATATGATTTATTAGGATCAGAAACTATTTTAGTCTGTTACATGACTTAATTATAAGGTGATAATTTAACTCAGATGGAAATTTAGGACAATGGAGCTTTATTATTGATCCACAACTTAGAATAAGGGACTATAGTACAATAATCCACCATCTTCCAAGTTAATTCTATTCTGGTGCTAATCATGTTTTCTAAGTTACTAGCCTCAAGTGTGACTCATGCTCATGTTGCTTCTGCCCTTCTAGCTCAAACCTTGGTGCTGGTTCCATGGCGATCGAGTCGTCGTTCAAGCGCCACATATGCCCTTCTTGCTCAAGGTCTGGTGGTGCTGGTTCCATGGCGATCTAGTCGTCGTTCAAGCGCCACATATGCCCTTCTTGCTCAAGGTCTGGTGGTGCTGGTTCCATGGCGATCTAGTCGTCGTTCAAGCGCCACATATGCCCTTCTTGCTCAAGGTCTGGTGGTGCTGGTTCCATGGCGATCTAGTCGTCGTTCAAGCGCCACATATGCCCTTCTTGCTCAAGGTCTGGTGGTGCTGGTTCCATGGCGATCTAGTCGTCGTTCAAGCGCCACATATGCCCTTCTTGCTCAAGGTCTGGTGGTGCTGGTTCCATGGCGATCTAGTCGTCGTTCAAGCGCCACATATGCCCTTCTTGCTCAAGGTCTGGTGGTGCTGGTTCCATGGCGATCTAGTCGTCGTTCAAGCGCCACATATGCCCTTCTTGCTCAAGGTCTGGTGGTGCTGGTTCCATGGCTAAGTAACCATTCATGTTTAGCTGATTAGTATCAGAACGTCCAAGCTCATGTTTGGTAGATTGGTAGTGTTGATCAGCAAGTGAAAATGTGGTAAAAACTATTAGTCCTAGGGACATAACTAGCAAGAACTTGGAAGTTATTGACATCTTTGTAATGTTATATTATTATTGTACTAATAAAACTAAGTCCAGTCTCTTCTTTATATATAGGTCCTTGCCTTGATAGAAACATGAAATTTGTGTGATTTTTTGTTTCCTCATATTAGGGAGCATTATATGGATGTGAGTATCGCACGCAGTAGCGTAGCCACATCGAAGGAAGGGAAAAAGATCCAGTCAAGTATTATTAGATCAAGTAATATTCAATAGCCATGTAGATTCATGCCATGTGGACCATAAAATGATTAATGGTTGAGATCCATTTAACTTTTATACTAATTAAAAAAAACTAAAATGGTAGAAGTTTGCCTAACTCCACTGTTAAGAATTAACCCAAAGTTACGTTCTCACTTTTTTCCCCTTTTAATACATCAAAATATGTCTTTTATTTTTAGCAAAATAAAATAATATTAAACTTTTACTTTTTACTTAATCCAAGTTCATGAAATATTTGAAAGATTGCAAATATTGAAAACCCCTATTTTGCAATCTTTCAAAAGAGCCTCTAAATACAACCCAAACTGACTGAATAATACATCATAAGTCTAAAATAGCAGGAAACTAAGATAGGAAGGAGGAAAGCAGGGTTGAGAACGCCGTACAGCTACCTTGCAGTGTGCGGTAAAGCTCTGAGAGTGCTAGGAACCCTCAATCTGCTGCTCGGGCACCTGAATCTGCACACAAGGTGCAGGAAGTAACGTGAGTACGCCAACTCAGTAAGTAACTAAAGTAAATAAGGTCTGAGTGCAGTGATGAGCAGTTAAAAAATCATATAAGAGTGTTCAACAGAATATCAAGTCAAACTCAACAGTTAGATAGCCAGTTACTTCATAAATACTTCAGTTTCAATTGAAATACTTTGAAATCATTTATTCAATATTTTTCAACAGAGGCTCAGTATAAAAGAGTGAAAACATCAAAATGTCATAAACGGGCCCCTCGAGCAAGGTATCACTCATAAGTATAGCCTCTCGGGCAAGCCTCTCAGTCACTCGTGACTCAACTCTCGTCAATAGTGCTCACACTAAGAACTCCGGCTCAATAATATCTCATAATAATAATAATCATAATAATCGTTGCGGCGTGCAGCCCGATCCATAGTTTATAGTCGACTACGCTCACTGGGAGTGTACAGACTTCGGAGGGGCTCCTACAGTCCAAGCGTCATATCGCTGCAGCGTGCATCCCAATCCAATATATATATTGTTGCGGCGTGTAGCCCGATCCATATAAGTATCGCTGCAACGTGCAGCCCGATCCATAATCTATATACTATACGTCGTAGCTCGATCCATAATCTATATACTATATATTAAAGGAAGAAAGTTTACATTGTGGTTAAGTCAAGTGGCAAGTTATTAACAAGCCACTTGGCAACCTTAGAAAATTTGAATTAAACATGGTAATAATATCTTTTTAATTGAGATACTAATTCTTTTTAAGGAAACAGAGATTTTTCGGCTCTATAGAGAAAATAGAACACACATTTTCCAGGAAAATTTCTTTTCCAGAAAGCTTATGCACCTAATTAGGCACACGTATGTTGTTCCTTATTTATAGCTACCAAAATCGATTACGAGTAAATATATTAAATATTGTAATAATATTTTTTTAATTGAGATATGTTATGATAAATATCACATTATGGTGGATGTTTACTCTTATTCCATGATCTTCATCTCAAATGCTTAATGACATATTCAATGACATATTTTGTATGTTCAATGACATATTTTCTTCACTTTTTATGCCTATATAAAGGCCTTGTAATAGATAGGAAAATACACACAATTGAAGAAGAAAATCTGTTCATTCTCTCCATCTCCATTTCTTGTTCATGTTTTACTAAATTGCTTATATTTCTTGTTCATGTTTTACTAAATCGCTTTTATTTTATAACACGTTATCAGCACGAAACTCTAACCAAATTGAAAGGATCGATAGCCCATTTTATGATGGAACTATGAATAACCAACAACCTTGAATCAAGTTGGTTGAGCCAATAAAACCTGGGCATTTCGTATGTCATATCAATATTGAGTTTGCTTCTTGCTGTCCAGCAGTGAGTATTATTTATAATTATACCATAAATTGTGTATTTAGCTTATGTTAAAATTTAAGATTTGTAGTTGCTTTGGTTAGAAAATAGTAAGCTTTATTTTAAGTTTTCATGCATGTATGGTTGTGTATGTCCGCTAATTTTGTTCCTAGTTCTAAGATTAATCTTATACAAATATAACATCATTCTATCATTAATTTGTTATGATATTAAAAGATCTTTATGAAATATTAAAAGGCATTCTGGTGATGTTAGGCCATAATGAGGTTACTTGATATTGTTTTTGTTTTCAAGTGTATTTTCTTACTGAATTTAAGTACTTGGGTACACCTAACATAATGCATGATTATACATTATTATACAATATAACATGATATACTACACTAGCTACATGTAACTATTTATTTTGACAAGCTTACATACAGAATATTAGTACACATGAAGATACTATGTAGGTATAGATTTTACAATATTAAATTTTTTTTTTAGGTGCACTTATAATTCTTTTATGTGGTCAATCCAGAAAAGTGACATACTTCAATTTTGGCAGCAAAATATATATTACGCTAAATAATATTTTGCTTTAGACACATGAAAGATAATAATAGTTATATCATTGTCCATTAACTAACTAAATGCACATATCATCAATCTAAGTTGATTACTCCTTCAAATTTATCCTTAAAAATAATGACTTTGAGGAGCAATAATATTTGATGAGCTTTAATATCCCGATTGAGATATGTAATTGTATGGCTATCCGTTAATTAACTTTATATATCTTATGATAAAATAGTTTAATTTTTGGATCAAATTAAATATGTGATAAGGTGATGCAGATACTAGACGATTTTTCACTTATAATTGTTGGGCGTGGTAATATTTTAAAGTCTTATGATGTCTGGATATAATAATGTCATTGGTTGAGGTAAAGACAATGGGTTTAAGCCCCATCGCACTATGATGATAAGAGTTGGGTTTGAGTCCCAACTCATTACGGCCTAACATGCCTTTATATGGGTAAGGCATTGGGTTTGAGTCTCAATGCACCATATTGATGATACAATGATAACTAAAGAAAAATAATATATTTTTCATGAAAAAGCATGAAGTTTGTCTCACTTGATTTGCTCCATTCTTGAAGTGAATGTGATAACGGTGCATAATAAGTCTAAATAAAGATAAGTGGTTGACCAATGAACGTCAGCGTGCCAAAGATTAAATAATAACAATCATCATTATGGTAATTGTAAAAGGAGAACAATAAGGGTTCTCAAAATGATCCTTCAAAGGTGAAGGAATATGTATCAATATGGTATGTTAATACGAGACACGTTCACATGATTATAGTATATTCGTTGAAAATGTGACGTGTGATAAGCATTGTAAATGCAGGCTCATTCCTGAAAGTAAATGTTGAAATATATATATGATAAAAATTATGCATAAGAATGTGCTTATGCATGGTTGGATAAATACCACAACTCACCTCTAAGGAAGGTTTGAGAGAAATAAAGATAATGAATATTACAATATGGTTACGTGAATATCTCATTGGTCGCGTACATGTGATACGCCAAATATAATTTTGACATAACTTATAAACATTATTAAAGGCAAAATTAAAGCAATAAATGATTTTGTTTATGAAGATTCTGACCATGACAATTTATTATGATATAAGTTTCTCTGTAAAGGAGACATTTACCATATGAATATCTTGTAGTACAAAAGTTGTTAAGAGCTCCGGAAAAACTAATTTGTTACTACTAGGATGAATAAAATTATTTATGACATTGATATTGTAAAGTCTCAAAAGAAACTTTTTGAGTTGCAAATGTATAAGTCAAAGTGATTGTCATATTGAGACAATAAATAAAAAGAAGATTGAATATCTTCTCTATAATCATACCGGGTAAATATGAAAGGTTACCCGATTTTATTTTTATTTGTACTACACAAATATAAGCATGATGCTTGAATCATGTGCCACAAGTAAACTAGAGGTTTACTAAAAAAAATATTAGTTGGCATAACCGGTTGACCATCCCGGTTCAATTATGATGCAAAAAAATTAATTGAGAATTACATTGGCATATATTGAAGAATATAAGTTTTTTCAAGAATTCTCTTGTGTTGCTTATTCTCATGATATACCAGTTAAGGTTGGGATTGTATCCCTTGATTTCTGGAACAAATAAAAGGTGATAAATATATGGGTCCAGTCACCTGCCATATGGACTGTTCACTATTATATGATTTTAATAGATGCATCTATTCTATGGTCATATGTGCATTTGTTATCAACTTGCAGTTTGGTTTTTGCAAGGTTGCTTGCTCAAATTATTAGAGCACAGTTCCAGAATATAAATTATGATGATTTATCTTAATAATATTGGTTTAAATCTAAGTTGGTTTAGCAGAAATTATATGCCTCCAATTATAGCTAAATCATTGGCTATGAGAACAAAACTCTCAAAAACGAAATTTTGTATGAGAAGTATTATTAATATATAGCAGCACTTGTACGCATCTAGCCAAGTTATGAAAATTTCTCCCTATCACAATCGGTTCTGGGTCAGGAACCAAATAATTTCTATATAGAAATATGGATGTACTATATGATTTAATTATTCTACCACAATGCACAAAGAAGTATTCCCAAAGAAGGTTGGGAAATGTGTTAGTGATCCCAACATTAGGGGGAAAGGATGGGCAGCTGAGGAAGTGATACATGAAATGAATTATTATGAATACATATAGATCCTCGTATAAGAAAATATGAACTTAAAGTTCAAGTTCAAGTGATAATTCATTTACAAATTATTGTCAGACGCATTTGTTGACCTAAAGCTAAATGTCATATTTCAGCTGCTAATGCTCCAAATAGAATAAAGTCCATGAGGGNGTTGAAAGAAAGGGTACAAGAATAATTCAATTTGTCCTTGTAAAAGGAT